TGCACAAAGTTAAAGCAAAATTGTTTTTAATATAAGAATAGACATGGGGACAATAAATGCTCAAAAAGGGTGGGATCAGTGAAACATGAGATTCGAAGATGCAGACTGCTCCATTGACTTACAATGAACTAATCGTAATGGATATTTAACAGCTCAAAGTGTAAACAGCATATTATAAAGACGTGTTAATTTTTGTTCGGAAAATATCATTGCAAGTGAGTAAAACGCTTAAATTATCATTCTGGATGCAAATCTAGGATGGAAAGTTTTCACTTCAGCTAAAACGTACTGGGCTCTTTTGTTACAGTAATTTGGTCTACAGGTTTCTCCTCCGGTTTCTCTTCAGGTTTTTTAGGTTCCTGTCCGGGAGAAAGTTTCTCAGGTTCAGGTTCCTTTCCAGAAGCAGGTTTTGCAGGTTCTGCAGGAACAGGAATTGCAGGGTTTCTTCTGGTTCTCCTCGAACACCTTGAACTGAGTTGTAGTCAGTTTCACAGTGTAGCTACCATCAGGATTTGGTTTGGGATTCGGGGTAGGTCTGATTCCCTCAAATCTCTTGTTTTGTTCCAGAATCTTCATTAATGGAGCAGGTATTTGTAGAACAGTCTTACCACCTTGAGTGATAACAAATACGTAAGTATGATGCATTTCTCGAGTTTACTCATGATGTTATCACATCCAACCATCAATATGCTGCACAAAGTTAAAACAAAATTGTTTTCAATATAAGAATAGAAATGGGAATAATAAATGCTCAAAAAGCGTGGGATCAGTGAAAAATGAGATCCGAAGATGCAGACTGCTCCATTCAAAGTGATTCAGGATGAAATAGTTGTAATGGAAATTGAAAAGCTCAAAGTGATATTTTTGTTAGGAAAATACTATGGCAAGTGGGTAAAACGGTAAAATTATCATTCTGGATGCAAATATAATTTGGGATTGAGAATTTTCACTGCGACTAAAACGTACTGGGCTCTTTTGTTACGGTAATTTGGTCTACAGGTTTCTCCTCCGGTGTCAATTCAAGTTTCTCCTCCGGTTTCTCTTCAGGTTTTTTAGGTTCCTGTCCGGGAGAAAGTTTCTCAGGTTCAGGTTCCTTTCCAGGAGAAGGTTTTGCAGGTTCTGCAGGAACAGGAATTGCAGGTTTCTTCTGGTTCTCCTCGAACACTTTGAACTGAGTTGTGGTCAGCTTCACAGTGTAGCTGCCATCAGGATTTGGTTTGGGGTTTGGAGTTGGTCTGATTCCCTCAAATCTCTTGTTTTGTTCCAGAATCTTCATTAATGGAGCAGGTATTTGTAGAACAGTCTTACCACCTTGAGTGATAACAAATACGTAAGTATGATGCATTTCTCGAGTTTACTGATCATGTTATCACATCCAACCATCAATATGCTACACAAAGTTAAAACAAAATTGTTTTTAATATACCTTAGTACACAATATTTATACATCACAATATTTATACGAATTTCGATTTTTCGTATAAAATTTATGTCGTATAAAATTTATGGGTTATAAATTTTGTGTCGTTTTCAAGCCGTATGTTGATCAAGTTATCAAGAAACTAGGACTCCCAGAAAATCAAAAGGCACTCTTAATATGGGATGATTTCCGTGGTCATACTGCATCTAATGTACAGAACCTATTGCCATCATTGAATATAGTTGCTAGTGATGTACCTAAGAACCTCACCCATTTGCTTTCTCCTCTTGATCTGACGGTAAACCGTACATTGAAACGAATCGAGCAAGATGACAGTGCAGAATATATCAGTGCTGAGATTACTAGATGTCTTCAGATTTCTCCGCGAATAGATGACATTAAAGTTAACACAGGAAAGCCTATTCTACGAAATTTGCACGCAAAGACTATCACGAAAGCGTTTGCTTACTTTCAGGGACCAGAAGGCAAACAAAACATTCTGCAAGGGTGGAAAGCTGCAGGAATTTGGAAAGCAGTAAGATCATTAAGAGACGCACAGAACATAATGGACACTAATGGCTTAGTGGATCCGTTTTCTCGTCTTACACTGATTGATTAATTTCTATATTTCTATTTTCTAGTCACTAAACGGATTTTTTTCTGTTCTTTGGGAGATTGATGCAATCGTATAAAATTAATGCCGTATAAAAAATATCCGTACAAAACTCGTGACGTACAAATATTCTGTACTAAGGTAGATGGGTATAATAAATGCTCAAAAAGTGTGGGATCAGTGAAACATGAGATTTGAAGATGCAGACTGCTCCATTGACTTACAATGAACTAATCGTAATGGATATTAAACAGCTCAAAGTGTAAACAGCATATTATAAAGACGTGTTAATTTTTGTTCGGAAAATATCATTGCAAGTGAGTAAAACGCTTAAATTATCATTCTGGATGCAAATCTAGGATGGAAAGTTTTCACTGCAGCTAAAACGTACTGGGCTCTTTTGTTACGGTAATTTGGTCTACAGGTTTCTCCTCCGGTTTCAATTCAGGTTTCTCCTCCGGTTTCTCTTCAGGTTTTTTAGGTTCCTGTCCGGGAGAAAGTTTCTCAGGTTCAGGTTCCTTTCCAGAAGCAGGTTTTGCAGGTTCTGCTGGAACAGGAATTGCAGGCTTCTTCTGGTTCTCCTCGAACACCTTGAACTGAGTTGTGGTCAGTTTCACAGTGTAGCTGCCATCAGGATTTGGTTTGGGGTTTGGAGTTGGTCTGATTCCCTCAAATCTCTTGTTTTGTTCCAGAATCTTCATTAATGGAGCAGGTATTTGTAGAACAGTCTTACCACCTTGAGTGATAACAAATACGTAAGTATGATGCATTTCTAGAGTTTACTGATCATGTTGTTATCGAATTAAACCATCAATATGCTGCACAAACTTAAAGCAAAACTGTTTTCAATATAAGAATAGAAATGGGAATAATAAATGCTCAAAAATTGTGGGATCAGTGAAAAATTAGATTCGAAGATGCAAAATGCTTCATTCAAAGTGATTCACGGTGAAATAATTGTAATGGAAATTAAACAGCTGGAAGTGTAAACAGTATATTATAAGGTGAACAATTTTTGTTCGGAAAATATCATTACAAGTGAGAAAAACGCTTGAATTATCATTCTGAATGCAAATCTACTTTGGGATGGAAAGATTTCACTGCAACTAAAACGTACTGGGCTTTTTTTAACGGTAATTTGGTCTACAGGTTTCTCCTCCGCAGCAGTTTGAAGATGCAAACTGCTTCATATAAATTGATTTAAAATGACTTACAAATTTAGTGCAACGTAAAAAAGATAATTTTGGATGCAGTTTACATTACAACCATTTCGCGTATTGGTTTCATAATCACTACCAAGGACATGAAAAAAGCAGCCCCCCCCCCCCCCCCCCCCCCCCGGCCCCTCCCCATTCCGTTTCACCAAACCAGAATGAAATAAATGTATAAGTTCTGTGCTTTAATATTGTTAGAAAAACAGCTGGAAAGATTAAAGGTTGCTAAAAGAAACTGAGGGATGACCTGAAAGAAGAATAAAATAGGTTACTTTATGTATTATTAAAGCAAACAGCCTCTTTTTAAAGTGAAGCTGTTAGTTCATTCCTGACAGGACCAAGATGAAAATATTAGCTGAAAGTTGGAATAAAATCCTAAAAGGATTCAATCGAACTATAGATGAAAGTAGCTGGTGAAAAAGTAACTAGAAGGAGTTCATTCACTAAGTGGGCTGCCGGAAAAAAAAATGTTAACATCCGTTAAGACGTACTGGGCTCTTTTGTTACGGTAATTTCGTCTACAGGTTTCTCCTCCGGTTTTTCAGGTTCCTGTTTCTCAGCAGGTTTCTCAGCAGGTTTCTCAGGAGCCTTCTCAGGTATGAGTACTTCCAGAGGCAAATTAGCAGGTTTCTTTACATTGTCCTGGAACTGTTGCCACTGAGTGCTAGTAAGTCTAACAGTGAAGCTGCCGTCAGGGTTCTCCTCTGGCTTGGGAGTCGGTCTCATGCCGTCAAACCTGCTGTTGATCTGCAGGATCTTCATCAAGGAGACAGGAATTTGCAGGCAGTATTTTCCACCTTAAAATATAAACAATTGGTGTCGACAATAATTTCATTTTAGTGGGACAATTTTGATTCGCAGTCATGACGTTGTTCATTGAGAAAACAGACGTTCCTAAAAGAGAGGCTGCACTAAGACGGTTCAAAGTTTTAATGATAGAAAAAAACCAAGGTCAGCCTAAGTTCGTTGTTATGGTGTTATCAAGATGAACTTCTTCTTTTAAAGGAAAATCCATGACTGGACTTAAGGAAAAAATGAGAGGAAACGAAGGATAAACTAAAAAATGCTGAGAAGAAGAAGCAGATGGCAGATATCCAGTAAACGTACTGGGTTCTCTCTGAACGGAGATGTTATCTTTAGGTTGATTGGCCGGGGCCCTTCCGGTGTTAGGTCGCTCAAGAGGAGCTAGATTGGCGGGCTTTTTCATGTTCTCTTGGAACACCGTCCATTGAGTGGTGGTGAGTTTCACCGTGTAGCTGTCATCAGGATTAGGCTTTGGGTTTGGAGTTGGGTTGATTCCCTCGAACCTTTTGTTTATTTTGAGGATCTTCATCATAGGAGCTGGTATATGCAGAACATATTCTCCACCTTGAAAAGTATAACATTGGGATGAAGATACAACTCGTGAAATGATGGTGGTGAAATTTTGGAACAGTTAGTTCCGTGTTTAACAATTTTTGTATACTCTTAATCTAAATTAATCGTCATAAGTGCTTTTAATCGATAATTACTGATAATGCTTTATATTGAAAGGAATCATGTGCTTTGAAATTAATAACTGTTCTTCAATAACTGCACTGGAGATTTACCTCTTCTCACTTTTACAGTTGCAGTAATCTAATTAAGTTTGTGCTTTTCTAAATTGTTTAAGGTTGTAATTTGGAAATTTATTTCTGATGGTTGAAAAATCACACGAAACACATAGATTATATATTAGGAAGAGATAGTTAAGGTGGCAGCAACTTAAACATACTGGGATCTTGAGTGACGGATATGGTGTCATCAGCTGGCTTATCTGCTGGCTTATCTGCAGGCTTATCTGCTGGCTTATCTGCTGGTTTATCAGCTGGCTTTCCAGTTTCAGGTTCTGCTGGAACTGGAATTGGTGCCTTCTTCTGGTTGTCTTGGAAGATCTGCCACTGTTTAGGAGAGAGCTTCACGGTGCGACTACCATCGGGGTTCGATTTAGGGTTGGGTGTTGGTTTGATTCCGTCAAATCCTTTGTTTTGTTGGATGATCTTCCACAATGGAGCAGGGATTTGTAGGACGAATTTACCACCTTGAGAACACAGTAAATTAAATAATATTAATGGCGTATAATGTTATGTAAAACTAAGGACAAGTTAATTATATTATGTAGTCATGCAAAATTCAAATGGTGACAACTTAAAGTTGTCACCCAACGCGAAGTAAACGTAGATATCAACGCTACGTAATAAAGTTCTTAAAGCTTTAAAGGGTTTCAGTTTATAGATTGCAACATTAACGAGTAATAGGTCAAAATATGGATGACGGAAGTTCTGAAGAGGATGTAATATAGTGCTCAAAGTATATCAAATTGATGATTGTAAGTTGGAAACAGGAAAAATTTTAGCCAGAATCTGGCTCAGAATTGATAATAAATATTGCTGCATGATGACAATTTGAAGAGATGACAATTTGAAGAGATGACAATTTGAAGAGTTTTTGATTAAAAACGAAGAGAAGCTGGTGCTGAGAGATCTGCTTGTAAACGTTAAAACGTACTGGGGTCTTTAGTTACAGAGATCTCATCAGTAGGCTTATCTGCTGGCTTATCAGCTGGTTTATCAGCTGGTTTATCAGCTGGCTTATCAGCTGGCTTTCCAGTTTCAGGTTCTGCTGGAACAGGAATTGGTGCTTTCTTCTGGTTGTTTTGGAAGATCTGCCACTGTTTAGGGGAGAGCTTCACGGTGCGACTGCCATCAGGATTCGATTTAGGGTTGGGTGTTGGCTTGATTCCATCAAATCCTTTGTTTTGTTGGATGATCTTCCACATTGGAGCAGGGATTTTCAGGACAAACTTACCACCTTAGACGAAAACAAACTTAGATACAAAATACAAAATGGTAAATTATTACTGCAGATATTTTTCTCACCTTCTAATCAGAAGCGTAAGAATTCTGAATCACTTACTCGTAATTACTAATTATATTTTACGTTACAACCGCAAAAAAAACTGTTTACCGTACCTTAAAGTGCTGCATCACGAATACATACTGAACTATTTGTTCCAAAATCACCCGAATCAAAAACCCAGCACAGCACACCCTAGTGTGCCCTAAATAGCACACCCTAAATAGCACACCCTAAAAAGTGTGCCCTAAAAAGTGTGCCCTAAATAGCACACCCTAAATAGCACACCCTAAAAAGTGTGCCCTAAAAAGTGTGCCCTAAATAGTGTCCCACACTTACTTGGGTCCTGAGTGACACTAATAGAAGAATCGTCAGCGGGCTCCTCGGGGGCAGCCTGTGGTTTATTTTGGTTATCCTGGAAGATCTTGTACTCCTCCGGGCTCATGTTGATCACGTAATCACCGTCTGTAGAAGGAGAAGGATTAGCAAAATATTGGGGTACAACCCTAAGTCAAAGTAGTTTTTTACTGTTAGATACTTTTCTTTGTTTCTTCTCCGAAGTATCCCCTTGCAAAGGAGTCCTAAATAAACTTTAAAACACTACAAGACTTTAAGACACTACAATTGTGACAACCACCCTTCCCCCTAGAAGCTTCAAAGCTCCACATCAAACTTACTAGGCTCGGTTGTAGGTTGAAGTTTGAGTCCGTTGAAGAATCCGGCAGTCTTGAACTGCTCGAATTGAGCTGGAGTCAGCTTCAGACTGTATGCTCCATCTCCTGTGAGGACATGTTTATTTAACAAAGGATAAATATGTGCATTGTGCATATGAATAATCTTTTTAGATATGAAATGAAATGTGCTCAGTTCTCTAGCAGTTTTATTTACTGGTCTGTGGTATTTTGTACGCTATTCCTTAGTTACAATGCGGGTCTACAAAATCTATTTGGCAATTTTACAACTCTCTGAATAAAACAGTCTAATAAAATAATGAGCGTGTTAACACTTAACAGTCTCAAATTTTTTTAAACAGCTTCCCCCTTACATTTAGACAGCTTCTCAGTGGGGGAAATTATTTGTGGACGGTATTCCTACCGGAAGTGGTAGGGTTCAGTCCGCCATTAAAGGTGGAATATGTGACTTGGAAGGGCTGTGATAGGGCAAGGAATATTGCAACTCCTTGATTGGTTGCTGTTTTAAAACTCTATTGAAAGGTGTCCGGGAACTAGATAACTAATACAGGTGACTTAAGTAAAAATGAACTTAAGTTTTCTGAGTTGACAGGTGATATAAATGAACTTAAGTTGGTACAGGTTGATGTTTACGGTGTGAGGTGGACTGTCTGGGAAACTAGGGAATGTGAAATGTCTATATCTATAGTATAAAGTATAGGATGTTAGAATAAAATATCAAGCTCGACAATAATACTGAAATGCTTCTCTGCTAGTGATGCTACTATGCTCAACATTTAATTGCAATTTAAAATATATAAAATGCTTTTTATATATCCATGATTTGTTAAATATCAAATAATAATAATTCCAAAATCTTGAAAGATCCCCTGTTGGAAATGTTGGTGTACAGTACCTGTAGCTCCAAGGTTAACTTGGAAGGTGCTCCATTCAGCACTGGTCAGCTTGATATGGTAATTGCCTCCAGTGCCGATATCGTGCGACACGTTGAGGCCTCTAAATGCTCCAATAGTGTTCAGGATATCGTACTCATTAGGCTTCGTTATTAGTATATACCCACCGCCTTGCAGGTGGCATGCTTTAGTAATATATTTAAAGTGCTGTTAAAACATTTAGGATGCAAATACAATAAGTAAAAAGTTGAGCTAATATATCATTCAATTTGCATAAAAACAACTTTCATCCATCAGGGTATTCGTCAAACTATACCAAAACCACTTGGAACACTGCCAAAAACTGAAAATTTCCTTTTGAAGAAGGTACCTGGCTGAGCCTGGACATTAATCTGCTGCATAATGGTCTGGGTATACACCATCTTCATGTTTATCTGCATCTGCTGCCACTGGGTCCTGTCCATCACTATGGTGAACCTTCCATCGGGGCCTTTGGTGGCCTTCACATTCATACCGCTCAGGGCTTGGTTTGATTGCATGGTAGTCCATTGTACTTCAGACATGATGAGGTGGTAGGACCCATCTAATAAACAAATAAATGCTATAACATAGATGTTTTCATTCCAATAATTCGGCAATGCATCGTTGATAGTGTACAACGTTTCGGCTGCATTATGCGTATAAATGCATTATCATTTTTTTGTATTCAAGTATTCAAAATATTTTGCTTAACATATGCTTATCTTGCAGAAATATATTATAACGGATTCAGAAGAGAAACGAAGAATTGGTAATGCTTTTAAACTTGCAATGCAGTAAAATAACAGAAACACACCTGGTGCCTTTGTAAGAGCGTCTTGATCAACACCTTCTGGTAAAAGTACACCACTTTCTGGCTTAGAGTCTGGTGGGGAGCGGGTTTAAGTAATTTTGTGATAATTTTGTGAATCGTTATTGAAACACACGTAAATTAGGCATGCAAAAGTACTGAAAACTTTAATCACGAATATAAATGAAGCACGAGTTGATTTCGCGATTAATTATTTTATCATGACTGTACAAGTATACCCAATTCTTGTGCTAACACCCACATGCATCATGCTACACAGAACTTTAAGACAGCGAGTTTTTGACTAGAAAAAGCATCAAGCAACGAATATTCGGCAACAAATAAATCAGAGGTCGTCAAAACATCATAATATAGTTATTAGTTATGACAACAGAATTTTGAGCATGCAGAAATTTCTCAATATTTTGATAAGATCAAGGGGTTCCAAAGCAAAGGACATTATATGATGTTGAGACGAAGCCATACAATTGCTTTTAACCTTCAGTCTGTTTGGGAGCCTCAGGCTTTGCTTCGGGTTTTTCTTGTGGTTTCTTAGAGACAGGTTCTTCGGCAGGCTTTTTCTCAGCAGGCTTTTTCTCTTCAGGCTTGCTGTTCAGAGGCTGCAAAGTTGATGGAGGGGCTTCTAATTCTGGTGCTGTTTCCAATTGGAGATCATCAGCTTCCAGATCTATCACAAGGTCTTCCATGGAGAATTCTTCAAGGTCGATTTCTTCTGGCTTATCCTCTTTTGGGGCATCCTTAGGGGCGTCTTTAGGAGCGTCCTTAGGGGCAACAGGCTTCTTATCAACAGCTACAGGAGCTTTCTGCACAGCTTCCTTTCTATCCTCTTCAGCAGTAGGGAGAGAGTCTTCAGGTTCTTCTGGTAAATCTTCAGATTCTAAGAGTTCTGGCTGAGCAGCAGATTTTGGTGCAGCCTTTGGCTCTGCAGGTTTAGGTGCAGCTGGCTCTTCCTTTTTGGGTTCAGGTATGGGCTCTTCTGCTTTCTTTGGCTCTTTCTTCTTCTTCCATGCAGGTTCCTTTGGTTTTTCTTCAGCTGGTTTTTCTTCTGGCTTCTTCTTCTCGTCAGCAGTTTTCTCCCAAGGTTTTTTGGGTTTTGATGGAGCCTTTTTCTCTTCTGGTTTAGGCTTATCTTCAGCTTTGGGAGCGCTATCCTTAGGAGCGTCCTTAGGAGCAACAGGCTTCTTATCAACAGCTACAGGAGCTTTCTGCACAGCTTCCTTTCTATCCTCTTCAGCAGTAGGGAGAGAGTCTTCAGGTTCTTCTGGTAAATCTTCCGATTCTAAGAGCTCCGGCTGTACAAGCTTAGCAGGCTCAGGGGCCAGTGAAGCAGGTTTCTTATCTGCTCCTGGAGCTTTCTGGACAGCTTCCTTTCTATCCTCTTCAGCAGTAGGGAGAGAGTCTTCAGGTTCTTCTGGCAAATCTTCTGATGCTAAGAGCTCTGGCTGAGCAGCAGATTTTGGTGCAGCCTTTGGCTCTGCAGGTTTAGGTGCAGCTGGCTCTTCCTTTTTGGGTTCAGGTATGGGCTCTTCTGCTTTCTTTGGCTCTTTCTTCTTCTTCCATGCAGGTTCCTCTTCGGTTTTTCTTCAGCTGGTTTTTCTTCTGGCTTCTTCTTCTTCCATGCAGGTTCCTTCTTCTCCTCTTTCTTCTCGTCAGCAGTTTTCTCCCAAGGCTTTTTAGGTTTTGATGGAGCCTTTTTCTCCTCGGGCTTAGGTTTCTCTTCAGCTTTAGGAGCTTCTTCTGGCTTAGCTTCAGGTGCTGGAGCACTATCCTTAGGAGCAGCCTTAGGAGCAGCCTTAGGAGCACCAGCTTCAACAGGTTTCTTATCTTCCTGAGGAACTGAAGGAACATCCATAATCAATAGGTCGAAACAATAAACATCACTATTTACATTTACGGCGCTCGTTCTAAAATTGTGATACAAAATGATGCGAATACAAAGCAACAAATTCGTAAGTTGAGTAACTCAAATAAGCTAAAAATGAAGTAAACAATTCAACAGCCACTAAGTACACTGGTGCGAACATTTGTAGCAGCGTAATCAATTCTCAGATTCATTTTCTACGCTTATAAACGAATTTGGTCTCACGTTGTAATTCATGTGATACCATCAGAGCTCATCTTAAGCACATTAACAATCTAAACATTACCAACTAGGGCCTATAAATTCTTAAGAAGTAGAGCCGACCTTACAATGGGTATAAAATTATGGTTTTAGAGATCAGAGAAACCTGGAATGCATTGGATAATTCGTGCCAATTAATGTTATCACACAAGAAGCCCAACAACATTGAAAAAGATTGAACCCGCTACCTAACCATTTGTATCATTAAATCCCTCCTTCTGATGAGGAAAACCCATCTTGCTTTTACTACTCCTATTTACTACAGCACGTACCTTCTAGGGTGAGTTCATCATCCAAGGTGTAACCCTCGGGTTCTTCGAAGGAAGAAGCAACGTTGATCTTTCTCAGATCTCTTTCATTGGACCGATGTCACAAGTCACGTTACCTGAGATTTACATTAGATAATCTAATATATCTACTAACTGGAAACCACCAAACTTTGCTTCATAACCACTGATGACTGAATATTCTGTATAAGAAGTTAATACGCGCTTGATAGTGTTGAACAGCTACGTCTCCAATACATATGCTGTGCTTATTGGATTAGAATGTTGTAAAACACTAGTAGAATGTGCAGTTATAGTAGCACATGTAGTGCATCCTCTCGATTCTAATGCATTAAATGGTATCAGAATGTTAAGAATTCCTTCTCCAAAATTGAGCTCAATAGAATGCGCTCTCAAACGTTAGATGAACAAGGAGGTGAAGTTTGTACTCAGTACTGTGATTCAGGTGTAGCAGTGTAGTGTTACACCCCAGTTCCATGGCCGGATATTATGCCAAATTATTAGACGGAGGTCCATTTCCCGTAGATCATCTCCGGAGATGATTCTCCGGCTCTGTCTACTGTATTAGACGGAGATGAAGCTCTCCGGGAATTTCTCGGAGATTAATTCATACAGAATCAACAAAATTACCGTAGATGGTCTCCGGTCGTGGAACTGCAAACCGGAGAAATATCCGGAGAAATATCAGTAGACGATCTCCGTCTAATAATTTGGCATAATATCCGGCCATGGAACTGGGGTGTGAAACGCTACTACATGCTCTTATATTAATACATGCTGTTATTTTACCCGTATATTTGGTTCTAGAATTTGTCGTTCTACTAAGTGAAGAAGCTACCAGAACTTTCTTTTAATTGAATGGTAGTGCAAGTTTAAGTATACTTGAACTTTCTTCTTGATGAATGGGACTAATCCAAGTTTAAGTAATTACTACCAGATCTTTCTGTTATTCAATGGAACTGGTGCAAGTTTAAGTATTTATTGCACATGCCATAGCTGTAACTTATCTTACTTTTCTCAACAAATGATGATTTCTGTACATTAACTAGAGGAACTGAAAATAGATTAATTATCCAATTATAGAAAATTCGCTTCGACGGTCGAAAATTTCATTAATTATACTTAATACTCTAATAGAATGTTTCCCTGAAATCTGATGTGTCATTCTCCCCTTTAAAAAAGGACCCGTAGAAACTTTTTCAGTTCAAGAAGCTTTCTTTGTTTTACCCATGACCCAAAATAAGAGTCGGAGGTTTAATTACCTATAAACCTGCTAAAGGTAGTTACTGGATACCCTGACCAAATGTTATTAATTATACTACACAGTTATAGACACAGACTACAAGCTGCCTGCGTGAAAGGTTCTTTGCTCCAATTGAACAAACTAAAGATAGCTGAAGATTGTGTTAGCGATAAGATTATTATCTTTTTTGTATTACGTCGTCTACACTTTCAAATTAAATCAGCAGTAAAAATGAGATCGGAACCACGATGAAATTGAGACTAACAAGGGTTGTCAATTCTCCATTATGAGAGTGAAGTTTGTACGAACCGGTAGTAACGACTGTTCCACGGGCACCATGTTGCAACACAACCTTCAGAACGTCCTTCTTGTCAGTCTTAGCGAGCTCCCTAAGTTAGAAAAAGAGTAATAATGAAATCAATAGCTCTTCAAATAGCTCAACACAGTACTGATAATAAAGCTGCCGAGCTACAATAGCAATTCTGATTTATAACTGTCACATCTGCTGAGCAGTCGAGCACTTGCTTGAAAAACGAACAGAAAGTAAGTAGTTTAGCGGGTAACGAATACTTAAATAATCTATCATTCTGGAATATGGAATTGAGCATGAACAACAAATACAAATTAGTAAAACAACAATTAAAAGGATGTCTTCTCTCTATGTTTAGCCTGAACCAGTACAAAGACACAGGCCACGCCAGCTGGTAAAGATATTAATCTCATATAAGCAGGGTTATACACGCTAGAGTCGCCATAAGACATGTTTCGTTTACAATGTATACCATGAGGCTGCCATAAAATGTGATTAAGTGATACGTTAAACACGAGCTGGGCTCGCGTCTGGCTGTCTCACGTGCAGCCACGCGTAGCGGAGTATATGAATATCCATTACAATGCCCATTGTATTCATGTGATTTGTAGGACAAATCAGTTAATAAATAACTTACTTCTTGACTTCCCTAATCTTGCTAGGGTTGTTAGGGAAGCAGATCTTGAGGTATTGATCTATCTTGTCAAGATCGAACATCTCGACTCCTTCGATAGTCACTTGATCGTCAATCATCTTCATCCTCAGCAAGTACACCTCGGCGGTCTTCTGCAGATTAACAGGATTCAACGTTCAGAGTTATAACGGGAATAGCTTAATAAACACGGAAAAAGAGACGGAATGTGACGATCTAACGGTTTTAAATTGTAAGAATAAATATCATTAGGTCTAATATCTATAATACTTCAGGGAGATTTGAATTATGTATTACCTGTAAGTTTTTATAAGCTTATAAAAACTTACAGGATCAATAAAGTTTATAAGTTCAAGAAAATTAATAAAAACTTACAGGATGTGTGATCTGCACGTTGATGACCTCAGCAATGCCGGATTCCTTGTTGGGTTCAGTGCTGAGAACTCTGTACACCTCAGTAGGTTCAGCAGCAGAAACCAGAGGTCCCTGGCACTTGAGGTTCAGCTCTACTGGAACCTTGTCAGATTCCTTCAGGAGCATCTTCAGGGACAGTAACTTGGCGGGGTAGTCCTGAAATATTACGTCCCGATTAGAAAATAAAATTATAAGTATGCCTTATGATAGATTGAGCATGACTCACTTAAAAAGTTAAAAGGTAACGCTATTTGATAAGGTTGTCTATCTTCCAAATATAAGGTCCCCTATCTACCCACCTTAGCGTTAAGCTTCTTCCTAGCATCAGCAGGAGCATCCACACTTTCCACGTTAACTTGACCGTCAACAAATCTCAGGATGAAGTAGAGAGACTCTGTGGAGCCTTGAGGAGTCAGTTGAAGCTTGATCAGTTCAGGATCTCCGTCGTTGTTGCACCTGGACAGATGTCAGCATGTTATAGTGTACTACTGTTATCAAATCAATGCTCAGAGCCACTTTAAATTTACACAGATTTGATACCAAATCTATAAATAATTCACGAATTGGTCCTATACAAGATCCGCGGGTGATCATACGCGGATGATGGGATCTGGGACAATACTTACACGTATTCCATGACACTGACATTAGCCTTGCCGTCAGAGGAAGCAGTACAGTTCTCGGGAGTCATCCTCAGAACAACCTCACAAGGGTTGGGGTCCTCAGGGGACAGCTTGAACCTGACTACCATGCTCTGCTCGGCGGACGAGTGTTGCAGTCCCATGTTTCCAAGGTCAGCCTGCAAATACAACTTGTCACTAATCGTACAAATATCGTGAATAGTTTCGTATTGCAAGATCTAATAGATGGGTCAATGAATAAATGATTCAGGAAAACTTTGATTATGCAACTTTTTTTTAAAAGCTTGCTAAACAAGAACAACAAAATTTTGTGATTTAAACTTACATCAGCTGGTAAGTCTTCTTGTTCGACAGAGAGTTTTCCATCAATGAATCGAAGGACAAAGAATATACCCTCAGATCCATCGGAAGGATCCAGTCTGAGTCTGATGTACTCTGGGTCTCCGGTTGGTGAGCACTTAAAGTCAACAACATCAGCTGTAGCCTGCTTATCACCGATAGCGGCGCATTCATCACCGAGAATACCGATCTTCACAACACACGGGTCCTTGGCAGGGTCCAGTTTGAACCTAACCACAAGTTCCTGCTCGGTGGGTTCTGCAGGTTCAGTTGGAGCAGCGGCTGTTGGTTTAGCTGGGGCATCCTGGCTAACACTGAGGTCGCCATCCTTGATAGAGCAGGTGAAGAACAGAGAAGGTTTTCCTCCCTTGGGGGTAAGCTCAAGCTTGATCTCGGTTGGTTCACCGTTTCCGTCGAATTTGGAGCTGACAACCTTGACATCTGCCTTCTTGTCGCCGGTGGCAGTGAGTTTGCCGTCCTTGATGACCATCTTGACTTCACAAGGTTCCTTGTCATCAGGAGACAGCTTGAACCTGACTAAGAGCTCTTGTCCCTCGTCTTCTGGTTCCTCGCCGGGTACCATGGTGACTGTTGGTACACCTTCCTTGAAGGCTACAGTAAATTTCATGGGCTTGTCCTTTCCTTTGGGGGTCACATCAATGACAGCAGATAAGGGTGTGCCTTTGTCGTCATATTTGAAGTCCACAAGGGTTACAGTTGACTTGTCATCAGATGTAGCAGTACAGGTCTTGCCGTCAGGGAAGTTAAGAGTGACTTTAGAGGTATCAGTATCTTTGGGTCCGAGTTTCATGTTGAGTTCGACTATTCTTTCAGGAGTCAATCCGGGAATAGTGAGTTGAAGAGAACCATCCTTGCCTCTCTTAAGGGGCATAGGTTGGCCACCGTACTCAATGTTTACAAGGTCAATAACACCATCTCCGATTTTGAAGGTGAGATACATAGGTTTGTCACATCCCTTAGGGGTTACGGCAATGGTGACTAGCTCGGGATCTCCCTTCTTGTCTTTGAGTACCTTGGTGACTTTGCAGTCGGAGGTACCGTTGAGCACTTCAGCGAGGCAGTCTCCTTTTCCGTACTTCAGTTTAACTTCATGGGTCTTACCGTCCTGGAGATTAATCGAAATGATAGCTTCTTTTGCTCTCTTTTCCTTGGGGTTAAGCTTCTTGCGGATAGGATCAGCATCAGTAAGATAGAGGTAAACATTGTTAGGATCAAGATCAGACTTACTCATGCTCATGACACCATCTTTAATGTCGAAGACAAAGTTCAGAGGTGAACGCTTGCCCTGTGGAGTAAACGCAACGTGAATTTTGGATGGCTTTTTGTTTTCATCAACCTCAATCTTGTCAAGCTTCACTCGACCGTCACGAGGGTTGGTTACTTCAGCTTTGACCTTCTCGCCCTTAATGTTAAGTTTCAACGATGTGGGTTGTTTGGCAGATGGGCTGTTAAAGAAGTTAATGATGATGTTCTGTTCCTCATCAAGGTTAACTTTAGCAACGTTCCTCTTGATAGCTTCAGTTACGGATATATCCAAATCCAGACCAGGGAAGTCCATCTCTCCTCCCTCAATACAACGCAAGATAGCCTGCATGGTTTCTTCAGGAAGATCAGACAGAAGTTTTTCTTTTCCAGTCAATCCAGTAGGTTTCTTCTCCTCAGGTTTCTTCTCCTCAGGTTTCTTCTCCTCAGGTTTCTTCTCCTCAGGTTTCTTCTCCTCGGGTTTCTTCTCCTCGGGTTTCTTCTCCTCAGGTTTCTTCTCCTCAGGTTTCTTCTCCTCAGGTTTCTTCTCCTCAGGTTTCTTCTCCTCAGGCTTCTTCTCCTCAGGCTTCTTCTTAGCATCTTCTACGGCCTTCTTCTTGGCATCTTCTTCAGTCTTATTTTTAGCGTCTTCTTCAACCTTCTTTTTAGCGTCTTCTTCAACCTTCTTTTTAGCATCTGCGTCAGCTTTCTTCTTGGCTTCTTCATCGGCCTTCTTTTTCTCTGCTGCTGCGGCTTTCTTTTCTTCCATCTTTTTCTTGGCATCAGCTATTTTCTTTTCTTGTGCAGCTTTCTTTGCGGCCTTGGCTTCTTCATCAGCCTTCTTTTTGGCGTCTCTAGCATCTTGAGCAGCCTTTTTGGGGTCTACTTTAGACTTGACTTCCTCAGCTGGCTTGGTTTCGACAGGTGCGGCATCCTTAACTTGTTTCTTCTTGTCAGCATCAATGGAAGGTAATCCAGAACCATCATCCATAGGGACTTCCTCCATGGGCAAGTCCTCCGATTCAAGAACGGATGGTTTGTCAGCTGGAGCAGAATCCTTTGGCTTACCAGCTACAGGTGCGGCATCCTTAACTTGTTTCTTCTTGTCGGCATCAATGGAAGGTAATCCAGAGTCGTCATCCATAGGGACTTCCTCCATGGGCAAGTCCTCTGAATCAAGAACAGATGGTTTGTCGGCTGGAGCAGCAGCTACAGGTGCGGCATTCTTGACTGGGGCCTTCTCATCCATATCAATACTTGGGATTCCGGACATGTCATCCATTGGAATATCTTCAGATGGGAGATCAGCTGATTCGAGACCGTCTCCAGGTTTGACAGATTTCTCAACAGGCTTTTTCTGGTCCATTTCTACAGATGGTAATCCATTTTCTTCAACAGGAACGTCTTCTCCTTCAAGAGTAAGACCAGGTGCTGCTTCATGAGCAGGTTTCTTGACGTCCTCACCGACGGAAGGAATATCTCCTGATTCATCATCCATGGGAACATCTTCGCCACTGAGATCGGTAGATTTTGGCTGCTGGACACCTTTCTCGACGGGTTTCTTGTTGTCCTCCTCTACTGAAAAATCACCAAGGTCTTCGTCAGGAAGATCTTCTCCATCCATAGTGATTGGCTCAGACAGATCTCCTGAAGGAGCAGATCGTGGAGCAGATCCAGATTTTCGTGGAGCAGAGTCTCCGGTGGTAGGTTTATCTCCAGCAGGAGTATCGTCACCTGGGGCCCTGCTTCGGTCAGTGCTACTGGGACTATACTCGCTTGGCTTGTAGTCAGTGTTACTGGGACTGTACTCGCTTGGCTTGTAGTCGGAGGTAGAAGGAGTGTAGGTGCTTGGCTTGTAGTCAGTGCTACTGGGACTGTATGAGCTTGGCTTGTAGTCGGTGGTAGGAGGAGTGTAGGAGCTTGGCTTGTAGTCGGAGGTAGAAGGAGTGTAGGTGCTTGGCTTGTAGTCAGTGCTACTGGGACTGTATGAGCTTGGCTTGTAGTCGGAGGTAGAAGGAGTGTATGAGCTCGGCTTGTAGTCGGTGGTAGAAGGAGTGTAGGAGCTTGGCTTGTAGTCGGAGGTAGAAGGAGTGTAGGTGCTTGGCTTGTAATCAGAGGAGTAGGAGGAAGTAGAGGTGGAGTAGGAGCCTGGCTTGTAGTCAGAAGATCGCTTGGTGGATGAAGACTCGTACTTGGAAGTGGAAGTGGTGTAAGAAGAGTCTCTTGGCTCGGTCTCGTATCTGGTGGAGGTGGTACTGTGAGCAGTAGGTCTGGAAGTGTGACTGGAAGTGTTGTAACTAGAAGAGTACTTGGATGGCGAGTAGCTCAGAGGAGTGTAGTATTCTCTAGGAGCCGACTTGGTGGTCTCATTAGTAGTGTATTCTGTTGTTGACTTGATGTTCGATACACCTCCGGGACCAGCGCTGTATCCCTCTGTTCGCTTCCTGTCGTACGTGCTTCCTCCTGCGGAGCTTCCGCCTGCAGTGTCTAGACTAATACCCACTCCATATCGGTCAGCAGCAGAGGTTCTTCCGCCTGCAGTGTCTAGACTAATACCCACTCCGTAACGGTCAGCAGCAGAGGTTTGGCCGTGAGCGTACTTTGGTTCTCCGTACAGGTCGGAGGTGTTTGAAGTTGAGGATTTGGTCGTGTAAGTGGTTTTGGTAGTTGAGCTGCTGGAGTTGGCACCGCCTGCTGCGTCTCCATCAGTTCCATATCCACTTTTATACTGGTATCCTGACCCTGAAATGGAAGTGATAATTAGTGGGTAGTATACATTTTGCAAAGTAGGCATTTTATATAAATATTAAATATATACTAGAACCCAAATGATACACAATACATAATCGAAGAGAACAAATTAAACACAGAGAGAACAAATTAACGAGGGAAAAAGAAGAACACGGTCTACAGATAATGTATCTATGGACTACAATCTGTTTGATGGAATAAACAGGGAAGACCACGGTAATAACAGTTACCACGGTAACAGTTACCACGGTAACAGTTAACAAGTTCACAAGATAAAAGTCGTATCCCTGTAAGTTAGTAAGTTGTATTGAGTTGTATTTTCGAAACCCAACAGATGGTTAGATATCGAGAGTTAGATTAAGTTTAAATTGAAGTCTAAAGAAACGCCTCCTAAAAAGGAGGTAAGTGCTTGTACACTGTACAATGTACAATGTCTATTGTATAATGTACAATGTACAATGTCTATTGTATAAATACCCGTTTATTGAAAATGAGCTTGGTTAGATCAGATGGTGTGGCATGCAAATCAGGTAACCCACAAGATAACAAACCATGGGGATAGCGACGATAACCAGTGTGAAGCCAAGGGAGATCCTCATAATGGAGGTAAGTTCTCATGGCCTGTCGATCTGAATGTCTCTCTGAAGGCATACTTGTTCCGTACACCTCGAAGTAACGTTGGTAAAGATACTTGGCGTACTCAGGCTCGTCCATGTCCTTGATGTCACCGGAGTAGTGAGCAAGGGCCAGAGCGCGGGGTCCTCCTACTCCTGCTCCACTTCCTCCTTCAGCACTGATCAGCCTGAGGTCCCTCTCTGGGTTCTTCAGGTCCTTGTGGTAGACGTGGTGGTAGTTGGTGGGGGTGGTCCTGGACCTGGCTCGTTCCCAAGCAGGAAGCGACATCAGAATCCTGTCAGCATCAAGTGTACCGTCACTGTTTGGTCTGATGTACTCTGATTTGTAGTCAGGGTTGTAGGAGTGGTCAGCAGAGATGTGACGGCCGTTCCTGTAGTAGTCGTTGGATCGGTATTTGCCGGAGTAACCCCCTTCAATACCAGTCCTAGACTCGAGATCTCTGTAGCCAAGAAGGTGTGACTTTGCGACTGTCTTCTCTAAGTCTGAAAAGAGAGGCGCCTCCACTACACCCCCTTCCACTTCTTTAGTTTCTGTTTTGATTACAGTTGATGTTTCTGTTTTGTCGACACTTCCTCGCTTACCTAAATGTACTGTGCTACACACGCGGCAAAAACACCCAATTCAACACACTCACACACAAACACACACACACACACACGTTCACAAACACACAGACAAACAATTCACATTCGTAAAACACACAGACAAACAATTCGAAAAACACACAGAATATTCAATGTCATGTATAAACACAGTGCAAATTCAAATTAATTCATGCGTGTCTAAATCTCACTTTCATGGATACAATGCATAAAAACCCACGTTCACGGACACACACAGATTAGTTTTTTATTTTTGTGAGGCGCTTTGTTAGTTTTAAAACTCACTTTGTCTGGTGGGAAAGTCGGCTGATGATCCGCCAATATATGTGCCTTTACTCCCTGCGCAAAACACGTGCTTTGTTAGAAAACACACGTGCTAACTCACTTGTGCACGTGCACATTTTGGTGTGTGCACGTGCTCATTTTATTAAATTGTAAGTACATGAAAATTTTCAAACCCAAATGTGCATATAATGAAAAAGGTCACGTGCAAGAATTCACACTCGCACGTGTACACACTCGCACTTGTTCGCAAGTAAAAGGTATACTGTACGTTCTCAAAGTTTACAACAGTTCGGTTTTTGTTGGAATAAAAGTGTTTGCCTTATAACTTGTCAAAAACAATAAAATCACAAAACCCCAGGAGGAAATAAAATTTGCTTTGAACACTTTTTAGAGTTGTGATACCTTTATGGTAAACAATAATAAGAGAATAAGGGGCTGTACAAGAATAGCACTCCATCAGATGGCGATGAAAAACCCGACAAATAAAAATGCAAAGTAGTACTGCGTATATAGTTCCAAAGCCAAGTAACAAGTCTACTAGCTAAGGAGAGTCTCCGTACACTCGCTCATTAAAACCCTTTACATAGCGGACCTCTAGTTGTACCCTGGCCCTCTTCTCACAATCTCACGGCAATATCCTAGTATCTCACCTTGACCGGTAGTAAGTCCGGCAGTAAGAGATGCTCGCCTCAATCTAGCTGCAGCACTATAACCAGCCCCACTATAACTCCCACTCCCACTGTAACTCCCGCTGTAATTCCCGCTGTAACGTGCACTATAAGCTGCCTCGCCACGTGCACTAGAGGACGCCGCGCCACCGCTACTGCCTGAAGTCACGTGACTGCCACCCGCCACGCCACCAACTCCCGAGTAACTGGTAGTGGTACTTTTGGTGGTGTTACACTGGACTCCCCCAGGGCAGATCCTATAGGCGTGGGTATCGTAGTGGGATGCTCCGATGCATTTGCAGTCTATACCTCCCCCACAACTAGCCGCTGGTGAGTATGACACTGTCAGTACGTGAGTACGCAGGATACTGTGCTAGTCACGTGCTAGTCACGTGTTGTCCGCCACCGCCGGACACCGCCGACCAACTTGAATGTACGCGGCGGACAACACTGCAACTTTAATCTAGTGTCAATCAGATCAGGGCTTACAGACGGTGTATTACTCTAGCCTGTGTTCTAAACCAAAGTGCTTAATACTTTAAATTCTACCCAGATTTCAAGGATGAGATCTAAACCCAACAAAAATCTCAGACTCAGAGAGTCAGAGTAACTGTTGGCTACCTCTGAAGTTGCCATGGTGATAAGAGTACCCCTGGCTGTCTACCCCCTGTAAGTACTCCAGTCTCACTTTAAACTCTCTGCTCTCAGTTCTCTCTCCTAGCTGCATGCGCTCTCTCAGTTTCAGGTGCTCCAGGTAATCTTTGTGGTTAGAGTACCCTTTGGGTAGCAGGTAGCTGTACTGCCCTTCATACAGGGTGCCTATAAGAGGGTAATCATCATGCTGAACAGTGAACATGCGGGGAGGGGTGGGGGAGGGGTGAAGGAGGGGTGAAGGAGGGGTGGGGGAGGGGTGGGGGAGGGGTTGTATGCTGTGTAAAGTCTACGATTGATTACTTAAATGCTGCTGTTAACGAAGAATTATTCATTCAAAAACATCAATAATGAAACAGTCAAGTGGACAAAAAGTGACAGGAAGTAAGAATGCTTTATGATGATTCAAACGGGAATAAAATTAACGATAATTTTTCATGAGGTTTTGTCCGGCTACATGCATGCTGAAACTTTGTTAAATTCAAAACAACGGTCTGCATTAATAGTGTCAAACTCCAATTTAGTTTTACGAATTTCAAAACATCTGTTCAATGCTACATAAATGCAGTGTGCTGTGTCTAGGAATCTTTTCTTCAGATTCCAGTACTTGACAGTACGACTCAATGGTTCTCAGTCTTATTCCGGAGACTCTTATTGTGGGTCTATATGTCTCAAAATTATGTCTCAATTTCTTTGGCAGCCGGTCATTGAAAGTATGAAACACCCTTTCAAATTTGGTCGCGTCGATTATTCGACCCGTTTCAGTTTTCAGGTACCAAGATTTACAACATTTAAGCTTTTTCGATACAACTTTTTACAAAGATATTTACAAGAATAAATAAATGATAAAATTCGTAAAATACAAAGAGAAAAAGAAAAAGGTTTTTATGTTTTATCAATGCAGGTCTAAAAAATACGGCCGTATAATCCGACATAAATGCGATTCAAAATAAGATGATAGTCCGTTTTCCGTGTTCAGTGTGCAGCAGCAGCCTAGTATCACAATATAACGATATAAAGAGAAGATAACCTAAATAAACCCTATAAACTATCTTATCAGCTACACACGTGCCTAGTAACTATAGTAACTAAAGTAACTATAGTAACTTCAGTAGTAACCATAGTAACTACATGTATAAGTAGTAGGGGAAACACGGGGGTATGTACTCACTTCCAGCTTCGTTAGAGCCACTGGGGCTGTACACGTATTCCGAATGAGACTTTTTCATATACCATCTGAAAAGTAAGATAGTTAATTAAAAGGTACGGGACTCGAACTATTTACCACCAGGATACAATTACAAGCTGATCAACAAGTTCTAACAATCACACCACTCGACCAGTCATTAAAAACAATATTTAAATTAGAAGAGGTAATTGAGGTAGACTGACTTATCTACATCGTAGTCCCTTGGTGCATGTGAGTAAGAATAAGTGCTGTGTACAGCTCCTCCTGATAAGCGTGTCCTGTAATCGGCCGTGTCTGCGGACAGGTCCGCGCTGTAGTTCCTGGCACAGAGACACCAGGGTTAGTACATTAGTAACTATAGTAACTACAGTAGTAACCATAGTAACTACATGTATAAGTAGTACGGGAAACACGAGGGCTAGAACATTATACTTGGGGATTGTTTTAGGTTTCAGAACTCAAACTAGGAGATACCACAGAGAGATCTCCTCGCTGTGGGGTTGTTACACCATGTAACCATAGTAACTACTAGTAGTAACTACTAGTAGTAACTACAGTAGTAACCATAGTAACTACTACTCGGAGATACCACAGAGAGATCTCCTCCCTGTGGGGTTGTTACACCATGTAACCATAGTAACTACTAGTAGTAACTACTAGTAGTAACTACAGTAGTAACCATAGTAACTACTACTCGGAGATACCACAGAGAGATCTCCTCTCTGTGGGGTTGTTACACCATGTGTAACTACAGTAGTAACCACAGTAGTAACCATAGTAACGATGGTTGTTACACTGCATGTGATGACTGTGTTAAAGATTAACGAAACTAAGCATAGGTATTAGGTAAGTGCACTTTAGGGTTACTTCAAGGTTAACTCACAGATTAACAGGTAAAAGTATTCCAATGTATAGGGAAAAAAGAAAAAACATTGTACATTTTTCGCACATTTTCATGACTTAAATTCTACCCTTTCAACCAATGATTCACAACTCATACTACCTTGATCATACATAATATGATATACAATATATTACCGGTACTCATTTCCTCTCTGAGCTAGCTAGTGTATATCAGTTTCTTGTTGGTGTTTTGTCTGTGTTTGTTTGTCTGTAGTAGGAATTTACTGTAACTTTGGAGACTGGGCGCAGTAATGTCCCAGAGGGTTTGTAACATCATGGATGCTGACTAAGCTTACCTGATCCTCTCCAACTTGTATTAGTACACTACTTCATTCACACCAGTCATTTCACTACATTAAACTGATTGAGGTTATGCCCTTTGTACATGCTGAAGCGATATGCTATGATGAGTGGAATATGAGTTAGGATCAGTTTGGTCCGTTTCATGGCAAAAACATTTATTGATTTTGTATTAACCCTTCGGGGCTTGCGTGACCCTTATCATAGAACTGGTTTTCAGGACTGGCAGTCTGACCTATTGCCTTGCCAGCATAGGTGTACTTATATAGTTTTGCATGGTTCAGTTGCATAGTAGTGTCCGAATTGCACTGATTCTAGCCCGAGTAGTGTTCGAAAGGGCGCCCTGTTTTGACATACCTCCTGAGCCGGTACTCATTTCCTCTCTGAGCTAGCTAGTGTATATCAGTTTCTTGTTGGTGTTTTGTCTGTGTTTGTTTGTCTGTAGTAGGAATTTACTGTAACTTTGGAGACTGGGCGCAGTAATGTCCCAAGGGTTTGTAACATCATGGATGCTGACTAAGCTTACCTGATCCTCTCCAACTTGTATTAGTACACTACTTCATTCACACCAGTCATTTCACTACATTAAACTGATTGAGGTTATGCCCTTTGTACATGCTGAAGCGATATGCTATGATGAGTGGAATATGAGTTAGGATCAGTTTGGTCCGTTTCATGGCAAAAACATTTATTGATACAATATATTACCTTGATCGTGACGGGTAATAAGAAGAAGAAGATGAGGAGTAACCGCCTGATCCGTAACTGCTCCTTGTTTCGTAGAGCCCACTCGTGTGGGAACTCACCCCACTGGTGTGAGAACTCACCGGTCCAAATCCAACGTAGCTTGCCTGACAAAAGAGAGTATTAGCAGGGTAAACAAAAGGAGTATTAATTGGGTTGGCTGAGTTGAGTGTTTATCAGCTGCATATACATGTTGGATGATAATTGTTTCTTCTAGCAGCTGATTTTGTTTAAATATTTTGAGTTCTGATGAAACAATTAGGCGTTCAGCATGTTCAGAGAAAACAATATAGGTGTTTATGTTTTAATATTGAATGGGCGTGGTCTAAAATATTCGAATTTTCAAATTTTGACGACGGAATCCTCGAACCAGTAAGTACAGTGTGCCATCTGCAAAGCAACAGCTCTCAAATATAAAACACGGCGGAGCTATTAAGGCCAACGTATGCCCACTGACTTTTGGCCCACCCTGTATTTTGAGTTCTGATGAAGTTGTAGTAATGAATTAATTAACTTTAATTGGTTTAATTAACTCGTCGTATTATTCGTCCAACAGTCAAGCTGCTAGAAGAAATGATTATCATTCAACAATTAAATTGATAAATGAAATCTTTAAATAAACTAAATCATTTTAGTTTTACCCAACGAATAGGAAACATAGGCTATAATTTACCTGGGATATTATCTTCGCCAATTATTCGCAGGTAATTAATCATTGGGTAAATTAACGTAATTTTAATAAAAATATTGAATACGGCACAAAAATGTCATTGTTGCCTGATTAATCAATAGATCGTTGTTTTTATTTTAGCCCGAAAATTACGAACAATCTTTCGATTTTTAAAATTTTATCGTCATAATCAATAGTCATGGTCACTGTAGAGAATACGATACACTACCGTAATGTACATCATTGTAAGGAATATTTCTGAATCCGCAATCTGACACCCATGAATGCCATATGTTATTATGCCTTTACATTACGCTTAATGTCCGACATTAACTTGAGTGACTTAAGTTTAAGCAATGTTGAAAACATGTTTTAACTTGGATATTGCCATGAAAAAGAAGCAACTAACTAGCATTTCCTAAACTATTTAAGCTATACCCTGGTGCGTTTGTTATTGTGTAAATGTTTTATGTTTAGATTAGTTTCCTTGATGTTAGAAAAGAGCAAGTTTATTATCATTATACATATATACTATATAGTAATACGACAACAAGCTCTACCCATCTTCTTTCAGTCTTACCTTAGTTGCCAGTCTGTACAGTGAGAGACCCTCACAGATGAAACATAGAATCAGTGGAACGTGGAGGAAGATGAGTGTTCTGTGATTAAAGCTGGGAATTGCACGTGTAATTGCGCGTGCATAACAATGGAATAGCTAGATCACACTTGTTTTGTTTTGGATGCGTAATTCGTTATCTAGCTTATACTTGACAGTAAAATATAACGCATACAATATACATGTGTGTGAATGCAAATTGAGACATTAACCTTTGAATCTTACTTATAATTCAAAGAATTGTTTTTGTTTGTCTGTCTGTATGAAGGCCCACGTGCAAAGCAAGTTGCATAGCAACCATGGTAACGGTGTTGAACGCGCACGTGCAATAATTGTTTTAACGTCATTTTGATCGGTTTTGTGGTGATTACGTTGTGTTCAGTGCGAGCTACATTTTAATGGGCTGTATACTCGGTTGTGACGGATATTTTTTGATGCTATAAAAACTGACCACCAAAGAATACTACTACCTTCCTCCCTGTGATCACGGGCTTTCTATAGTTAGTAATATGAAGCATCGTCCATATTTATTGAACACCTACGGCTGCATATTTTCAAACTTGTTTCACCATTGTTTTTCCGATAAAAACCGACGACCTTGAATCACCTTAAACACCAAAAATATCTCCAATTCGGTGGTTTGCAGTGGTTACAAGGCAAATATCTGGACATCCAATGATACGATTTTCTTGAAACTTTTTAGATAGTAAGATAGCTTTAAGACAAAAATCTGTGCAAGTTTGGGTGAATTTCTATGTGCCAAATTTGAGATATCACTTCAAACACAAAAAAATAGTGCTGTCGCTGTCGGACAGATGTCGTGTTACCAAAATCAGAAATATAATGACTTACAATTTAAATGCGGGAAAGTTATTTCATTAATCGTAAAATTCACGGTAACTACTACTACTACTATGTTAAAAATACAGAATATTGTGTAATAACAGCCTCAAAAAAACGTCTGTTCAAAGCATTGGGCTAATGCTGTGGTCTTAAATCGAAATTACTTTTAAACGGTTGAGAACTGTTCTAAGAAACTGTTTTTTTGCTAGCTCAACTATCCAGCAAATTATTTACCCTTGTACATGTAGTTACTATGGTTACTACTGTGGTTACTACAAGTAGTTACTATGGTTACTTGGTGAAGAAAAGTGCCATGAATTAATTAATATTAAAATCTACCACCAATTTTATCCAAATAAGAATTAGCAGGAATATGTCGTATGAGATGAACAAACTGCTTACATGTTTCGTTTTAACCTTAACAGAGTTCACTAGTAATTTATAAAAACAAAATCTGTGCAGTACAAAAAGATTAAAAAGGTTAACAAGTAATCATATCATTAGTATAGTATGTGGTCTGCTGTTTTGGTTTAATGGGAGTTTTGTTTTGCTTGACGTTTTGCGAGTGCCTAATCCGATACACTTAGAAACATTTTAAACTAATTCGTTGTAACTTTGTTTGAAACGCATTAATATCTTAATCGCTTACAGACTGCTAGCTTCATCGACGTCATGAGTTTGTTGGCAAAAATTGTTGGAATGTGGGGCTAACGATCTTGAAAGTCTCCCCCGCCTCATAGCCCACCCTGTGGGAGCTAGAGAACTAATCACCACCGAGCTGGTTCAGACTCTGAGTAATCGTTAGTCTGTTGTGAGACGTCTTCAAGTGTTCGTAAGTCAAGTAGAAGTGAACACCGAGCAGATATCTATAGCTTATTTAAAGATTTGGAGGGATGGGTGATGTGGGCGTGAAAGAGCTTCTCTGCGTGGTTGTGAGCTTTGTTTATTCCGTACCATAGGACAAGATAGTCGGTATAGTTATCTTGAGATGGGAGCAGATGTGGTGGTTTAAGATACATGTTTAATATACTCAGGAGCTGCTAAATCCCTTCATAGTAACTTTATACGTCAGAGTAGTGCTCTTTATACGTCAGAGTAGTTCTCTTTGCGTCATAACCCATGATTATAGGCTTTGTTAGTTGTCAGCTGTGGTTATCATGGTTATTATATAGTTGTAAATGTGGTTACTATGACAAAGTCCTTACTTTGGTTACAAATAGTGACAGCGGTTACTGTGGATACAAAAGTGACAGCGGTTACTATGGTTACTTAACACGTATTGTGACAGTGATGGATATCAGAGGCAACATATAGGGGCGGTAAAAAATCTGCCTAAAATAATTTCATGTGCGGAAAATTTGTAGGATAATACCACCGCGATTAAGCTGAAAAATTCGCCAAATTTGCAGCCTTTAGGTACTCTCAGGTTAAATTATTCAACAGTGTATATAACGTTGCCTTACACGATTGTTAAGTTTAACACATCAAAGAATTACACTCATAGAAACTTTTACAATAAGATGGCCAGGCCCAGGATTACTGGATTACGCAGGATTACACAGGATTGCAGGATTACACAGAATTGCAAGTTATATCATCTAAAAGTAACTTAAGTAGTTATATCATCTAAAAGTAACTTAAGTAAAGTTAGTTAGTTAGTAAAGTAAGTTAAGTGAAGTAAGTGACTCGATTTCATTCTGTTGAGGGATTGTGATACAGCTTGAGGAGTTAATCATTCGTCCTCTTTTATTTTATCCCAATTATCGATAGTATTACTGGTCATCTGATAATATGCATCAATAATGAACTTTTTTTAAAAAGTAATATTTTCTTTCCGATCTTTTTGATGTTACGTCATGAAAAGCGTTTTACCCAAATCGTGGTTTAATTGGGCATGTCGATCTTTTCTTATTGTACACAGCTGACAGCAGTACCAAGTGCACAAATCTGATAGAACGATGGCGCGGAAAAGTGTGTTATTAGGTCGATAGTGCGATTCCGCACCCACCGCACTTATATGTTGCCTCTGATTGTTAAGGTTATTTGGTGTTCCTGTCGTACGTTATCATCCCTCTGCCAGTAACCCACAATAATAATAAATCTTCTGGAAAAGTGCTTTAAATATTCTCGATATTGCTGATATTAGTAAACTGGGTTTGGTGTAAATTGTAACCCTTCTTCTCAATGGTAAATTTATCTGGCAGTACAATGTGTACTGTATCTGCATTTCACCTTATACGGTAATATCAATATGGTAACATTACCATATAAGGTCATGACTAATGTTGTCATGTTAACACCACCTTATAAGGTAATGTTGTCATGGTAACACCACCATATAAGGTGAAATTTGGGAGCTGCAGTACATACGTCCTCTTGTCTAGAGCTAGAGTTAACCCTCTTCAACGAGCTGCTGCTATCGTAACTTGTCTTCACGGAAATTTAATATTAATCTTACAGCACTTATTACAGTTCTTTGCAGCTTCTTCCAGTCTTCGCTCAAGAACTTAGTAACTAAAACTAATGTTAAAATATCATGAAATGTTTAAAAGCGGAGTAATGTTCAATGTTGATATGGTGACATTACCAAATAAGGTAATATCACAATGGTATTACTACCATATAAGGTAATGTTAACTTACCCTTTCCTTGCGGGAGACAGAAACAGGTTCCATGTCGTAGGCGCCGGATCTTCTAACGTAGCTACTGACATGTCGCTCTGGCCTGACAAACTTGATCTGCGGGGAAGTCTAACATTAGAGATTACCACCCATACTTCCATATAAGGTAACCGTAATGTTGTCATGGTAACACCACCATATAAGGCATGATCTTACCTTCTTGAACTGGTAGTGGTGAACCTCGGGGGCAACATAGGAGCAGAGTCCGTATTTGTTGAGAATCAGATCGGTTCTCGCGTCACGTGAATTCATAATTGTGCGTCTCTCGTATCACATGCACTATTAACATGGGTTAGGTTAATTTTGTGTAAAGCAGTGTAATATGATAACTTGATATAAACTTGATATAAACTTGATATAAACTTGATATAAACTTGATATAAACTTGATATAAACGTGATATAAACTTGATATAAACTTGATATAAACTTGATATAAACTTGATATAAACTTGATATAAACTTGATATAAACTTGATATAAACTTGATATAAACTTGATATAAACTTGATATAAACTTGATATAAACTTGATATAAACTTGATATAAACTTGATATAAACTTGATATAAACTTGATATAAACTTGACATAAACTTGATATAAACTTGATATAAACTTGATATAAACTTGATATAAACTTGATATAAACTTGATATAAACTTGATATAAACTTGATATAAACTTGATATAAACTTGATATAAACTTGATATAAACTTGATATAAACTTGATATAAACTTGATATAAACTTGATATAAACTTGATATAAACTTGATATAAACTTGATATAAACTTGATATAAACTTGATATAAACTTGATATAAACTTGATATAAACTTGGTATAAACACCCTAAAGCACTAAAGCACTATCATCACCCTATCTTCTTCGCTCGAATCTGCAATTATGGCTTTTCATTTGTCACCTAACACTCAATTTGTATTACAAGATTGACAAAAGGTCAGCAATGAGGCCAAATCTAGAGTCAATCCCGCGATAATCCCACATTGGAACATTTTGTAAATTTAATAATACTTGGATGATGGATCTTCCAAGATGCAGTCAGTCGAAACCTTAATGTCTGTAAAATTAATGAAGTTACTAGATCACGTTGTCAGTCAACTGGGGAATGTGAGAACAACAAATTCAGAATGCCAAGGGTTGACGCCTCGTGACTTTCATATTGTTTATCAAGTTTGATTATACAAGTTAGGTAGTTATATATGTAAATTAATTATATATATTAATTGAAGTAAGCAACACACCATTCCTACTGCAATAATGTGCAAAAAGTTTCAATAATCGAGTAGTCTTTTTTATCTAGTAGTTTTTTTTGTAGTGTCTTTTTTAATCTAGTAGTAGTATTTTGATATTTGTCGGCTGAAGTGGCTAGATGAACCATCTACTAATACTACTTTGGTTTACCACCAGGAACTAAAGAAATACTTATTTATAGATTATATGAGGCTCTATTCAGTGACTCTTCCACCCTTAAAGGTCCAGTTCTGAACAATGAACAAACCATGGATATTTGTATATTATTGGCTCTGTTTGATAATTAGAGTTAATGGTGTACGCATGCACATAATAAGGCCGATAATGGGAGAAGTTATATTTTAGTAGTTATATGGATATTTGGTTCCCGCCGCGCACTGAATTCCGACAGCTCCAATTCCAATTAAGAATTCCAGCTTAAGATGTGAGCTGCCTTATGCAGAGATTTGACCCTGACAGATTTAGATTTTTAGAGTGATCTGATCAATCACAAGCTGAACAAGTGGTTTAAGATGTTATAGTTTTGGTATATATATACACATACGGAGCTATAAAGTTATTATTCGCAAACTCTTCACGGGTAGATGCAGAGCCCTGATAACCCTAGAAAACAACAGCTAGGCTGATGAGAAAAGCTGCAGTGTCAGACTTTCTAGAGTTTTTAAGTTTAAATCGAAATTCTTCAGTTTAAACTAACAATCAGGTCCCGAGCCGGAATTCCGTTCGTCGCTTCGGAAGTTCGGAATTCAGTTTATGTCAGAATTCTGGTCGCACTTTTTCCTAATTAGAGTCGGAATTGAGTGCTAGTCGGGATTCCGTGCGTGTCTCTATATATATTTATGTATAATAAATATAAGATATGTCATAATTAGCAGAGTTTGGACCAAAATAATTTGACGAGCCCCTATTACAAACTCATTTCAATCCTCGTTTTATCCTGTACAACAACTTCTGTTTTGTCATTGTTGGATAATTATACCCAGTTTTTATAATGGTTTTGAGGAGGAGCTGTGGGGAGCCACCCCACCAAACCGGAGCCAGGACTATTTGTGACTTAGTGGTCACTAATTATAATGATTTACAGACTGGAACTTGTACTGATGTTAATGTACTGAGTATAATGTTTACTAAACAGAATTAGTTAATTTTATGCCAGCGATTCCTCTTCAATGAGGAACAAATGCCGATCCGAATTGAGATATCATTGCACTTTACAGTCCCTCGGTAATTTGATAATTTCGCTCTGTAAGTTTGTTTTGATAGACATTTTCCACCCCTAATCCTAGTGTGCACTTCCATTTTGCGTTGCTGTTTCGTGTTCAGCTATAGTACGTGGCAGTCCAGTTTAGTTACAAGCTAGTCTGCAGGAACATTCCAGAAGCCTTAAGGAATTTGGGAACATTCCAGAAGTATCTTAACAAGCCAGTCAGCAATTTTACTGTTTTCATCAAGAATTTTAATGTGCTCTTATTTTCGTAGGTTAATCGACTTTTCAATGAAATAAACCAAAACAATTTTCATCACAACAATCACATTTTAAAAGAGCTCGCACAACTGCAACAACAAGCCAACGAATGTATCAAAATAACGCCCTCAAAACGCCATGTAACTTCTCATGGTTAATAGAAGAAAGTGTCTATCAACAAATAAATCGGTCACGTGACAGGGCCGCGTGATAATGAGCTCTCAACACAACCTAGTAACCACCGCCTGCCCAGTGTGAATAGTAAGCGGTTTGACCAGGTATCTCCAAATAAGGCAGTGTCAAACTACTAAATATGGGCATGCTGGGGTTGCGACTGTCCAGCTAATTTAATGCGCTATGTTGCCCGTTGAAAGGTATGCCTGTGAAAGCCGTCCAATTCTAGCACTTAACTTTGAGTAAACGAACATTTGAACCGGGTATACGGCGGTCCTATTGGTGGGTTTGGAGTTCTGAAGTAGTTTAGCGCAGTTTTAAGTCGCGGACCGGACTGATTTGACCTGCTGCGAAGAGAGAATGGGGGTACGGATAAATCTATAAATATACCGTGAATGTAAGGCCACAACTTCAGTGCACTAAATAAGTAGGGTTTAATTGATAACTATGTGTGACTATATAACACTAACGTTAGGGTTTAATTGATAACTATGTGCGTGTGTTAACAATATGTTAGAGAGAGAGAGAGAGAGAGTGCAGGACAACAATAATAAGGGTGGAGAAAAGAGAACTATAATATGACAGACATCACACCCTGGTATTATATTATCACAGATATCAACTGATAAGATATGAGGTGTAGGAGTGCCACACTTCCGCGTTAATAATATTACTACACTTTAGTTTTAGACTACTGCTAACTGCTAAGTACTATAGACTACTACTGTCTAATACAATACTTTAGACTGACGATGTTTACAGCGGTTTTACTTCTTCAGACCGTTAAAATGACCGCGGCAAAGTTGTGTCTATATTATAACGAAAATGAACCTTACATTTCTGTGGCAAAAAAGCGATGTATATTTTGTTCATTCGGTATTCTGGCTAATTTTAATCATTAAAATTATCAAATTATTAACTATTAAGTAAGCTAACCCAGATAACGCGACTTCCTTTATATTAAATATTAACGAATGTGGCGTACGTTTTCTGTAGAAGCTAACATACTCACATATAACATATAACTCTCTAAGAATAAAGACCCTTAATTAATATGTAGATATAGTTGACAAGTTGAAAGCACGATAATTTTAACAAACATTAGGTCACATATTTTAATCATATTAGGTCATAATACGTCACATAGGCCAAATCTATAATGGCCAATACAATTATGATATTGATGACTTGCATAAAGAAACCCAGAATCAAACTGTCCTCAATTGGGTCGAAGTGACAGAAAGTTGCTGACAATTTACACTCAGTAACGACGGTTAACTTTGGCGAAGGCTTCAGCGTCTTTAATTTTAAAGGACTCACCGTCTTTAAATTTGCTGGTAGAAGTGAGGTCAGTGTGTGAAATGTGCTTTATTACATCCGATCTATTTTGACACCTGTTGTGGCGTCTTTAATTTTCAATTTTGAAGCCTTGCCACGTTCAATTTTTTTTTCATTTGAAGGCTTTGTCTTTATAAATCACGTTTATAAAAAACAAACTGAGTGTACTGAAGGTTAATTTAATAACTTTGAATATAATAAAAGAGGGATAAGTGCTTTATTGAATTGTAGTTTTATTTACGGTATAAACATGTTCATATGGTTTTACCCAGCTGAACAGCCTTTCAGGCGCTGATGATGCTGATCGTATTGTGGTGATTCCAATTCTTCGTTAATAATATTAATAAGTGGCAGATTAATTTTCTTTCTTCAAAATAAAAACAATTGCACGTGTACCTACTGTGCATAAAAAACAATGGAATTTTTAATTGAACCGAAGCTCGATGGAGTCAGATCTTTGCTCAGGCGCTCAGCGTTATTGAACTTTTTATTAAGTTTAATTAAGTTAAAACAAACTCAATAGGTACGACTCAATCAAACGAATGACTGAAGTGTTTGAGCTTATCCTATTGGATAAAGATATGACGATCCTTTTATCTAAACTTATTTGATCTCGCACGAGCGCTATTGTCAGACAACAGCAGATGTCCTACAGGCTAGTAGACGCCCTCAGCTATCTGCACCTATCAGATGTCCCGCTCATCATTGCACACTTTAAAAAGGCCCACGTGATAGTCACGTGATAGCCACGTGATAGTCACGTGATACCATGTATATATTCAAGTGAGCAGCGAGCTGGAGCACTGCCCACACACATGTTGACAGAGGGGCGAGTGAGACTAGCTGTGAGACTGGGTCATTAGTGCACGGAACTTTTCAGTGAGGCCTCTTTTTAACAAATGTCGTCAGTTCTTGTCCATTTCATCTCTATTTATAATGCCCACACGATCCATTTGCTACGTTTTGTTTACTATACTCTTGTTTATTGTGAAGTACCTATACTAAGTTCGTAAGGTTTTGTCATTGAAATAAAATTGTGTTAACCTTGTCTAAGGTATGGTGATAATAGATGCTGAGCCGTGGGCGGAGGAGAAACCAAATGACGAACTTTCGGTGGGATCAAACAAACAACTGTTTGGGTTCCAGGATCTAGCGAGTGACTATTACCAGGTAAAATAGAAACGTGGGAATACCTTGTTGTAACGCAAAGTGACAGGTCCTTCTTCTGCAACCTTACTGATATAGCTTACTTTGAATTAACATTTTATACTTATTTAATACTATTTTTGGAGAGTTTTCTCATTAGAAACCCCTTGTCTGGTAATCTTAGGTGGAATGTTAGGTATCCCAGCTATTTTCCAGACGATCTTGGAAGTATTCTTACTTTATTCTAGCTAATATTGGAAGTATTCTAACTATTTTTCAGGTCCTACGCCAGCACAGCAGGCCCCGGGTCTGCAGGTTTCTCTGGACTATCACAATTACCTTCCTGATGGGGATCACCTTCTACATGATCTACAAGCTAGTGTACGACTTCCTCCAGTTCAACTCCTTCAACGTCTCCTCCACCAAGTGGAAGGATCATGTAATCCTGCCTGCTATATCAATATGCGGCACTAACTTCATCAATTACACCCTTCTCTCAACTGAACTCAGTGAACACCACACTGACACTGGGGATCTTCTACAAGACTTTGACGACCTCCTCACAGATGTCATCAAGTTCTCCACTTACGGTAACATCCTGAACGAGCTGAACTTGACCAAGTACTCTGATCTGCTGGAGTGGGAGGGGGAGAACGGGTCGATAGCCCTGCGGTTCAAGACGGGGATATATGACATGTTGGTGGGGGAGTTCGACTACTTGTTCAGGGGTTCGGGGTTCATAATAGAGAACCCCCAGAAAGTAGTGAACCCCTCAGCGCTGGGAATGTGTTTTGAACTCAATGATGGGGGTCTGATGAAGCAGGACATCAGCGGAGCAAACGGAGGGATTGTTATTGATCTGGACGCTAAAGTAAAGGATTATCTCTTCACCACCTCCACCAAGGGGTTCGTAGTCTTCATAAGGGACCAGGATGAAACAGTGATGTTGAACCAGGGAGGTTACCTCGTCTCTCCAGGCACAGAAGCCTTTCTCAAGCTGTCAGCCCGGTCTGTCACCAGACTGGGGAAGCCCCACGGGACTTGCAAAAACAATTTGAGTAAGTACTCCAAATATGGGAAGAGGTTTGAGAGTGTCAGGGAGTGCAAGCAGAGACAGACCATAGAAGCTATGGTCGAGCATTGCGGCTGTATCCCCTGGTATTTTGCCAACAGAATGCTCAGCTTGAAGAAGTATAATGTTCTAGATGACGCAGTAAGGTTAACACAGGAAGAAGAAGGATCTGGTCATCAGGATATCAAACATCACAGAGATGAGGACCATGAAGAGGAGGCTGAGTCTGGAGTAGAGCATAAACACGCTGGGGTTTATCTTAATACTGGAGGAGATGGACATGATGGTGAGGATGCTGGACATGATGATGATGATGATGATGATGATGGACACATTGAAGATGATGATCTTACCAATGAAGATGCTGAACACACTGAAGAAGAGAAGTCCCACAAGAGAAGATCCATTAACGGTTCACGACAAAAAAGAGAATTACCTAAAAAGCTCGAGAGAGCTTTTAAGAAAGCTAGGAGAAGAGATGATCATCTCTACGATGAGCCGGTACGTTTTAAAAGAGGCAGCTCACATGAAGGCGCCACCGATGCCCCCGAGTCTGCCACAGAGTTCGCAACGGAGTGGTGGCCCACTGCAGCGCCTATCTACAACACCAACTACTCGGACTACATCTGCACCTTCACAATCCAAGCAGTGTGTGACAGTGTTATAGAGGATGAGATAAAGGAGGGCACATTAAAGATGGAGGGGTGTCCGGAGCCGTGCCAGTACAATGAGTGGGATGTGGAGCTAGCCACCACTGTCTTCCCCTCGACTGAGAAGTACTTTGAAAAGTTCATCCAGTTTGAGGTGTATGTGGATCCGGCTCCTGATTTCAAGTACGCCCGAGAGAACATGGCCAGGATCCACATCTTCTACGATGACATTAAGATGGACGTGTTGGAGCAGGAGAAAGCGTACGAGGCCCAGAACTTCATAGCTGAGTTTGGGGGTACTGTAGATCTCTTTATTGGCTTCTCGTTCTTCACCATATTCCAACTTATAGAGATAGGCATTGCAGCTTGTATCTACAAATGCCTAGGGAGGAGAAGACAATCTCCTTCATGTTCTAAAAAGGACGATACTCTTCCTTCTCTGGATGAGAGGGATACTGCACGTGCAAATGAGCTGGATACTGCATGTGCAAATGGGAATGGTAAGACTGGTGACGAGACAATAGAAATAAATATTATTGGTATCAGTTTAGATGATCGAGATAAAACGGACAAAAAAGATAACAACTATGTAAATGTCGACATTTCTAACACTAATAGGACAGCATATGAGTGAATATATTGTTGATGAATGAAGACTGTGATATAGAAACTTGAACGTGAAAAAACTTTTAAAAGCAAAGTATTTAAACATTGAAACTTCTTACGATTGTTGGATTTAGTCTATTTGAAAGTAGTTACTTACTTAAACATTATCGAATTATTAAAAATATGTTTAAGTTAAAACATGTAACTGTAATTAATCGCGTCAGAGAATTTGTCTTATATTAGGCGTTTCTTAGTATTTACGTTTACTTAGTATTTACTTTCAGAAGCCTTGTCACTTATCCCAATAAATAACTACAAGTAAGAAAACTTAGAGATGACACGAATCGTCCCAGGACTAGCCTAAAAAGAACATATCACCAGCCCAGATTGCAAAGAGAATACTCCCCATTTCACCGCCAGCATGATCTTATCTTCGTTACATTCCTGGCGAACTAACAAACATTCTATCGCCGTTCGTACAAACCCAAATAAAGTAACATATAATCAACACTGTCATATATTCCGCACCATCCCCGCTGACGGTCGAATCAGCATGATGGAACAGCTTCCACCCCTAGCAGCTTTATCAAGTGACTGGCTAAATGTCAGTGCGCGGAGTAAGCGCTACAAATACTAACTCAGCATAATAACAATGTGTTGCAAGTGCACCAGAGACTGGAAGCCTTACTTTACTACAATTATGAGACTATGTTATTACTGATATTATGCAGATTGCAGATAGTAAGAAGCATATTGTAGGATGATGGCCTGTGAACTGGCCTGTTAAGTGAACGTTTTATTAGTCACGTGTTGCCCTTATAAGGTAATGTTGTTAGTCACGTGATTCCCTTATAAGGTTATGTGAGCGATATCGCTTCCTTTGTGATTATGTCTAGTTGTTTGGAGCTAGGTTGTAGCGGTCCGCTGCCTTTAAAACATTTGCAGAATCGAGGCAATATCTGACACAGCAATTAAGCAATTACGAGTAGGACCAATATCATGAATATAGGGACACTTCTAACGTGAACAAAACAGGTGCAAAGAAGGAGAATACCCATATAAGGTTAAACGCTATATTGACTTGATAACACCTCCTTATTGTAATAGCCTGTCATTAATAAATGGCAGTTCAATTTAAAAAACGTAAAGCAAAAGCTAAAAATGATAAATACTACTATAAGGCAACGTTATGATCTTAATTATACCATATGTATCGATAAGTGAAAATGATCAAGTGCACAAGAATAACGTAAATTTACTGTTTAGTAGAGGCGTTGTATTCCAAAAAAACAGCAGAGAAACGGCAAAAAATAACAAACTGCAATAAAGGTTAATTAGAATAAAATCATTTCAATATATAATTTACCAAGCCCAACAAGCTGTAAAGTGTAAAGGGTAGCCGCGTCTGAATTATGAGATGTGCCGCAATTATCTCTAAAATGAATTATACGGCAGATAATGTGCACTATTATATTGGAGGGTGGCTAGGGGAGGCTGGCTATAGTAACAGGTTCTGTCAGTCCGGGAAAGGAAGCTTCCACCACCAACCAAACTATCCGGCTCCAGCCAGAGAGAGGAGAGAATGCTGATTGGTCCGGAGAGGAGAATACTGGACGCTGATTGGAGGAGGAGTGTCCTACTTTTTAACCGCTACACTTTTAAATAATTGAATTACCTTGAAATGCTTAAGTTGTACATTAAAATGCTGTGCAAACCGTTGCCAAAGAGGATTGGGTAGAATATTATGTTAATAAAGTTAAGTAATATTAATCAATTTCTCTGAGAAGAGTTTGATTTTAAACGCGCTCTAACGGACGTTTTGAGAGCTGAAAATCTCGCAATTATTGAGGCAAAAAAGCAACAAACAGACTAACAAACATACTAACAGCGGAAGAAGCACATTATCGGAGTAATTGATTTCAAAGTTGGGCTATCGGGAAAATTCTAGCAAACATTTGCAATCGGGTAAATTCTTACAAACATTTGCAAACGGGTAAATCCTAACAAACATTTGCAATCGGGTAAATTCTAACAAACATTTGCGATCGGGTAAATTCTAACAAACATTTGCAATCGGGTAAATTATAACAAACATTTGCGATCGGGTAAATTATAACAAACATTTGCGATCGGGTAAATTCTAACAAACATTTGCGATCGGGTAAATCCTAACAAACATTTGCAATCGGGTAAATTCTAACAAACATTTGCAATCGGGTAAATTCTAACAAACATTTGCAGGGAGGTGAGGTTAACGCGGCGTCAGTGTCCTGCATGAGATGAAGTCTTACAAAATATCATCTTTTACTGCGTTCTGTTATAGATTCCTTACATTAGCAACTAAATGTAACGGAATAACACTGGCAGTAATGTTATATTATTTCAACACGTAAGGTTCCGCTAATTTTCAACGTTGCAGCCGGAACTTTATTTAAAGATCTGATATTATTAGGAACCTTCAATCAAGGGAATGTTGTGAAACAATCAAAAACTGTAAGGACAGACTCAAGAGAGTTCACTAATCCTTGTAGCAACGCGAAAGTTTTAAAGCAAATTAGAAGAGAATCCGTTTTTACGTTAGCTTCAACCAAGGGAAAGTCAATCGCAAGAAATCACAGACGGCAAAACAAGCTGAGCATTTTGACAGTTATTTTTGAAACCATAGAAAGAGAGCTCGGAGTTGATTAAATCATGGGCTAAACTGACGTGTCGAGAGAGGGTACACTACGGCTTTATAGGCTACTATATACTGCTTTACTACTACACTACAACAACTACACTACAACAATGGGAGATGATGGGAACTATGAAGGAACCGAGGGATCTTCCCTGATAGATATTATAGTAGTATTAAAGTGGTATTATAGTATTATAGTAGTAGTGAGGGGTAGAAGAGGGAGGCTACTAGTGACCAGCAGAGTTTGTGGAGAGTTCTGCAGTTAGCTCTGCTGTCAACACCACAACTCGCTTAGCCAATCAGAGGCCTGCATCTCCCCCCGGCAACCTATCACAACGCAGTGTCCGGCGATAACTTGGGAATCCTACATTGTGGAAAAACAACTGGCAAAGCTTAGCGTATGCAGGATGCTGCAGCAGCGTGTTCACGCTTAGTGTACCTGTTTATTTCTGGTTACTAACTGGGTAGTACCTAGTTAGTAACTAGTACTGATGCTACTTTTACTGATCTAGAGGAGATGAAGAGAGAGATGTGAAGTTGGGGGAACTGAGCTGAGGGATCTTGTGAAGGATCTAAAAGGACACTGCCGGAATACAGTTAGGGGAGTGGCTACTTATAGAGAGAGAGAGAGTGAGTGTTTATTTGTAGAGAGCACTACACGAACAACGTAAATGAGAACAGCAGTGTACCAGTTTACAAGTTTTAAAATGCTGGTGTCCGAGCAGTGGACGCGAAACTATTGAACTACAACTTAAGTTTAACAACAGTAATGATTGCGATAGAGTGGACGGCAGTCGAGGCAGTTGACTGGTCACTAAGTAACTAGGAACTAGTTAGTACCTGGTTACTAAGTGACTAGGAACAATATTGACAACCATTATACAAGGCGTAGTGGTTACTAAGTAACTAGGAACAATATTGACAACCCCACAACCATTATACAAGGCGTAATGTGTGGCACCTTGTTACATGCCATTACCTAAAATATTAGAGCTGCACGATCTAATTACACGAGCCCGGATCAGACCTGGAACTACGAATATCTGGGTAATGAGATTTGTGAGGCACACACGGGGTCACAGGTAAAATACAATGAACCTCTAATATATTAAACAAGTCATTGTTAAATTGGAAGTGACAGGTATGTTCAGCTAAATCGGATTCAGGTTATTTTTGAATTGGAAATGACAGCTACAATATCCTAAATTAATTTGGCGTAGTGGTAAGCTCTCCCAACCTACCTGTGTAACAAATCATTGTGTTTCAAAATAAAGAGCGTGATATCTGCCCACACCTCCAAGCCAGCAGCTCTACAAAACTGCAGCCCTACTATGGCTTGCTGGAGAGTTTTCCAGAATAATTCCAACACATAATGTTGTTGATAGATGTTGTCAACTGGGAGTAACCACGTGGTGGTCCCGTGACTACACTGGCTGTGCTGCAGTTATTTCAGGTTCACTCTCAGCTGGTCACATGGGGTCAGTTTGGGGGTCACATGGGGTCAGTTTGGGGGTCACGAGGGGTCAGGTTAAGGTGGGTTTGCAGTTTAGTGGTGAGATCTTAGTCAAATACCTCCCGTCACGGTCAACAAAGCAAGACTTGTGGGATTTGTAGGTTAGAGTCGGGACAACTGGTGATGTTACTTAGTGACGTTACTTAGTGACGTTACCTGGTGACGTTACTTAGTGACGTTACCTGGTGATATTACCTGGTGACGTTACCTGGTGACGTAACCTAGTGATGTTACCTAGTGACGTTACCTAGTGATGTTACTTAGTGATGTTACCTGGTGATGTTACTTAGTGATGTTACCTAGTGATGTTACCTGGTGACGTTACCTAGTGATGTTACTTAGTGATGTTACCTGGTGACGTTACCTGGTGATGTAACTTAGTGATGTTACCTAGTGATGTTACCTAGTGATGTTACCTGGTGATGTTACCTGGTGACGTTACCTGGTGGTGTTACTTAGTGATGTTACCTGGTGATGTTACCTAGTGATGTTACCTAGTGATGTTGCTTAGTGATATTACTTAGTGACGTTACTTTGGAACTACTTAGAATTTGATGAATTTTCTTTTTATGATATTGGGCCTCCCGCATTTAAAATAAAAATTGAAGTTTTAATAATATCCAAATCTTACTGATGTATCAACGCTTTGCACTTATAGCCGCTTAATAAGACAAAGGAATGAAAAAAAGTTCGGTTCTATAAGAATAATATATATTACTAGAAACCCGCCGCTAGTCGAAAGCTTTGTTCGAGGAAATTTTAAGCATCAGTTATGTTTTAATTTCTCTTCATCATATAGCCCCAAAACGATACTTTTTACCGCATCAAAAAATTTCAATCACAACCAAAGTTATAAATATATATAGGTATATAGCGTCATGAGGGTAAATGTGAGCTAGTTGTGAAATTCTGACGTAGCATACAGCATAACACCGCGCGTTGAAATCCGCTGTAGTCGACACTATAAGGGAGCGAATTTAATTAGAAAACAACAATATTTTTGTTGATTGTGTGTGCGCGG